CTTGCTCTCATTTACTGGGGTTCTCTATAAGACATCCATGGCTTTTCAGATGTCCCAAAGGTCCTTCAGACTTAGCACAAAATCTGTTGTTTAGTGTAGCCACCTTCACCAATGGTCTTACCTAGATCTCTTGGATAACTTGCAGCAGCTTCTCTGTCAGCACTTGCTGCTTCATCTTTCACTTTTATGCTATGGTGACAGCTTCTTAAACCTAATGAACCAACTTCTGCGAGCTTCAGACTTTTCTTATGCAGCTTCATGACCTCTCTCAGCCTTCCCAGAAGTGAAGAGAGGAAGGGCCTTGCTCTGGATCAAGGCTTTGACGTAAGGGAATGTGGCAGCTGGTTGGATCTTCTATCCAGACCATCCGCATTTTCCCCATATCAGCAATAAGGTTGTTTCACTTTCTTATCATTCCTGTGTTCACTGGAGGAGCATTTTAAATTTCCTTCAAGAGCTTTTCCTTTGTATTCACAACTTGGCTAACTGTTTGGCACAAGAGGCGTAGATTTTGCCTTCCTCACTACGCTTAATCATTTCTAGCTTTTAATTTAAAGTGAGAGATGTGAGACTCTTCCTTTCACTGGAACGCTTAGCGACCACTGTAGGGTTATTAACTGGCCTAATTTCTCAGAGTCTCAGAGAATAGGAAGGCCTGAGGAGAGGGAGAGAGACAGGGAACAGCTGGTCAGTGGAGTTGTCAGAACACACACAACATTCGTGGATCAAGTTCACCATCTTATATGAACATGGTTTGTGGCACTCCAAAACAATTATATCATCAATTGGTAACATTAGTTGCAACAATTAGTAACATCAAAGATCACTGACCACAGATCACCATAACATTCATTCATAATAATAATGCACAAGTTTGAAATATTGCTAGAATTACCCAAATGGGACACAGAGACCCGAAGTGAGCACATGCTGTTAGCAAAATGGCACTGATAGACTTGCTCAATGAGGGAGTGCCAAAAACCTTTGTAAAAAAAACAACAACATAGCACTCTGGGAGGCCAAGGCGGGCGGATTGCTCGAGGTCAGGAGTTCGAAACCAGCCTGAGCAAGAATGAGACCCCGTCTGTACTATAAATAGAAAGAAATTAATTGGCCAACTAATATATATAGAAAAAATTAGCTGGGCATGGTGGCGCATGCCTGTAGTCCCAGCTACTCAGGAGGCTGAGGCAGGAGGATCGCTTGAGCCCAGGAGTTTGAGGTTGCTGTGAGCTAGGCTGACGCCACGGCACTCACTCTAGCCTGGGCAATAGAGTGAGACTGTCTCAAAAAAAAAAAAAAGAAAGAAAAAAAAAGCAACAACAACAAAAAACCCCCACAATGCAATATATGCAAAGTGCAACAAAGCCAAGCACATTAAAATGAGGTCTGCCTGTATGTGCAAAACACATATCTGATAAAAGATTTGCATCCAAAATATACAAAGAACCCTTAAAAATAACAATAAGAAAAAAACCCAATTTAAAAATGGACAAAAGATCTTAACAGACACCTCACGAAAACAGAGCAAATGGAGATAGGACAAGATATTCAACACCATCTGCCATCAGGAAATTGCACATTTAAACAGCCATGGGATACACTGCACACATGTTCAAACGGCTAAAATACAAAACATAGACAATGCCAAGTGCTGACAAGGATGTGGAGCAACAAGAACTCTTGTTCATTTGCAGTGGAAATGCAAAATGGGGTAGCCACTTTGGAAGACAATGTGACAGTTTCTTGCAAAACTGAAACTACTCTTACCAGATGATTTGGCAGTTTGCTCCTTGGTATTATATTTATCCAAATGAGTTGAAAACTTATGTCCATACAAAAACCTGCACGTGAATGTGTGCAGCAACTTTATTCATAATTGCCAAAATTTGCATGCAATCAAGGCCTCCTTCAATAAGTGAATGGTTAAACAAACTGAGGTATATCCACACAATGGGAGTATTATACAGCAATAAAAAGAAATGATCAAGCCATGGAAAGACATGGAGGAACTTTAAATGCATGTTACTTTTTTTTTTTTCTTTTGAGATGTGGTCTTTCTCTGTCACCCCAGCTGGAGTGCAGTGGCACAATCATAGCTCACTGTAGCCTCAAATTCCTGGGCTCAAGCAATCCTCCTGCCTCAGCCTCCCAAGTAGCTGGGACTACAGGCATGTGCCACCACGCCTGGCTAATTTTTCTATTTTTTATACAGATGGGGTCTTGCTATGTTGCTCAGGCTGGTCTTAAACTCCTGGTCTCAAGTGATCCTTCTGCCTTGGCCTCCCAGAGTGCTGGGATTAATGGCATGAGCTGCTGCACTCAGCCTTAAGTGCATATTTCTAAGTGAAAGAAGCCAATTTCAAAAAGGTGCATATTGTATGATTCCACATATGGCATTTTGGCAAAAGCAAAACTTTTTAGTGGTTTTCAGCTGTTCAGAGGGAGGGAAAATGGGGGAGGAATAAATGGGGACAGCACAGGGGGTTTTAAGACAGTGAACTATTCTGTATGATGAGATAGTGGTAGATGCATGGGGAAGCCCATAGAATGTACAGCACAGAGCCAACGCTAATGGAAACTATGGATTTTAGTTAATAATAATGTATCAATCAATACTGCCTCATCAATTATAACAAATGTAGCACACTAATTAATATTAATAGTAGGGGAAACAGTTCGTGTGGGGGTGAGAGAGTATATGAGAACTCTCTGTATTTTCCATTTGATTATCCCGCAAACCAAAAACTGCTCTAAAAAAACGAAGTCTGTTAATTAAAAAGAAAAAAAGAAAAAAAATCATAAGGGCCCAGGGCCTCCCAGAGTTCTCCTTGTTGTAGCTGAGGTCCAAGGCAATTTTTGGACACTTCAAATGGACTGGTGGAGTCAGCCAACACCAAACACTGATTAGGTGTTCTGGCGGTGCTTGCCAAAACTACTTTAAACTCTAGGTATAAAGAATATAAATTTTCTAACAATCCATGCATCTGGCAGCATATTTGACTAGCGTGCAAAGCTGGATGGAAGACAGGGCCAGGTTCCTGCGTGCTGTCTGTAGCGTGTAGCAGGGGTGGCAGTCTGTCGCAGAGATGTGACCTGCAGAGCCCCTTCGACGGTGCGCAGGTTGCCTGCCCTCCTGAGCTCAGCCTGCTCCTCTGTAAAGAGAAGGTGACACCTGCCATGGCTGACTCCTAGGGGCACTGCTGTGAGAGGGAAGAGACTTCACTGTGTGAGCTGGAAACCACTGCAAGCCTCCTGCTCCACTTCTCTAATTGGGCACACATGGAGGCTTTTGGTTTGCCTAGTATCTCTCCCTGAGCTTATCAGCCCTTTGAAGAAGGCTTTTCTTTATTCTTTTGTTGTTTTTATCCAGAGCTTTCTCCAGTGACAGTCCCCAGTACCCATGCCATGCTGGGAGCGGGCAATGGCTCAGGTCTGAGACAGGGATGGACGTTGTGGTCTGCCCTACTCCGGATTTTCTCAATTAAAACATAGCTTGGTCGCTTACTCCATTTCTTCTTTTTTTTTTTTTTTTTTTTTTTTTTGAGACAGAGTCTCATTTGTTGCCCAGGCTATAGTGAGTGTCGTGGCGTCAGCCTAGCTCACAGCAACCTCAAACTCCTGGGTTCAAGTAACCCTTCTGCCTCAGCCTCCCGAGTAGCTGGGACTACAGGCATGCGCCACCACGCCCGGCTAATTTTTTTTATATACATATATATTAGTTGGCCAATTAATTGCTTTCTATTTATAGTAGAGACGGGGGTCTCGCTCTTGCTCAGGCTGGTTTCGAACTCCTGACCTCGAGCAATCCTCCCACCTCGGCCTCCCAGAGTGCTGGGATTACAGGTGTGAGCCACCGCGCCCGGCCTCCATTTCATTTTTTAAAGATGCAGAGATTATTTTATGACGTGGAAAGCCAATGACGTTGATTCTTTGCCACATTTCTAGATCTAAGGTTTAAAAGACAAAATTTTTCAGAGATGGTTATGAAAAGCAGAAAATACATGCTAAAATATTAGGAGAAAACATGTACGTGAGGGCGGCAATCTTTGAGTCTACTTGTGAAGCGCTCAGAAAGCACGTCGACGGGCTTTGCACAGGCTTGACAGATTTCTCCATTTCTTACCTGCAATTGGTATTGTCCATTATTTTCATTTTGGACATTCTAATATATATGCAGTGGTATGGCACTGTTGTCTTAATTTGCATTTCCCTATAGACAAATGATGTTAAACATCTTTTCATATGCTTATTTGCCACCTGTATGTCTTCTAAAGATAATTTTTAGATAATTTTCTAAAGATCATTTTCATTTTTAAGTAATTATAAGCCTATACGGAAGTTGTTAGTACAGTACAAAGAACTTCTTTATTCTTGGACGGTGTGAGAGTAAGATGCTGGCCCGACTAAAATTAGAAAATTAACATTGTTACATTACTAACATCTACTCCTTGGATCTCATTCAAGTTTAGTCAGTTGTTTCAATAACATCATTTATGGCAGAAGGATTGAGTCCACAATGATGTGATGCGTTTAATTGTCATGTCTCTTAGTGCCATTCAGGCTTTCCTTGACTTTCATGACTTTGATACTTTTGAAGATTACAGGACAGGTATTTTGTAGACTGTCCCTCAGTTTGGTTTGACTGATGCCTCCTCAGAGCCACTGTGAGTACTACGCAACAAGAGTTTGCTGGGCGCGGTGGCGAGCACCTGCCATCCCAGCTATTCAGGAGGCTGAGGCCAGGAGTTCCAGGCTGCGGTGAGCAATGACCACACACACCGCTGCGCTCCAGCCTGGGTGCAGTTGGACCTCACCGATAGTGAGAGCTCATTAAAAAGCCTGTGCAAGGCTGTTGTTGCTTTGGCTGCAGTGTTGAGCTTGAGACCAGCAGGGCTGGAAGACAGGAAGGAAAGGTGGATGTGCAGAGAAGGGAGGACAAACTGGAACTCAAAAGACAAATGTGATGCTGCATCTGTCTCTGATCTTTGCCAATCTAGGTGCTGCGGGCGCCCTACGGAATAAGCTGCTGCCCTTTGGCGTGAAGCTGCCCACGCCAGCCCAGGACTCTGGAAGTGGACGGAGGAGATGCCAGGAGCTGCAGGAGCTGCGAGCAGGCTGCGGCCCAGCATCCGCAGGTGAGCGACAATGTGCCTCGCCCTGGATGGACTGCTGCAGATTAGGGATGGCAGCTCTTCTATTTCCACCTTGCAAGCATGGCACAGATTCCTCTTGTGCTTGTCCCTAACCTAAAGCCATACAGGGGAGGGAAATGTAGTTCTAGCTTAGCTAAGTTGCCACAGGAAAAAATCTCCAGTACCCTAACCTCACACCACACTAACAACTAATGCAACGTGGCTCACGGACCTAAATATGAATGCTAAAACTACAGAGCTTCCAAAGAAAAACACAGAAGAATATCTTCTCAACTTGGATTAGGCAAATAACTAATACAGGACAAAGCAATAACCATAAAAGAAAAAAAAAACTGATAAAGTAGACTTCACCAAAATTAAAAACCTCTGCTCATCAAAAGATACCATTAAAAAAATGAAAACATGGCCATGCGCAGTGGCTCACACCTATAATCCTAGCACTCTAGGAGGCCGAGGCGGGCGGATTGTTCAAGGTCAGGAGTTCAAAACCAGCCTGAGCAAGAGCGAGACCCCATCTCTACTATAAATAGAAAGAAATTAATTGGCCATAGAAAAAAAATTAGCCGGGCATGGTGGCGCATGCCTGTAGTCCCAGCTACTCAGGAGGCTGAGGCAGGAGGATCACTTGAGCCCAGGAGTTTGAGGTTGCTGTGAGCTAGGCTGACGCCACGGCACTCACTGTAGCCTGGGCAACAAAGCGAGACTCTGTCTCAAAAAAAAAAAATAATAATGAAAAGATAAGCCACATAGTGGGAGAAAATATTCACAAAACATATATCTGACAAAGGACTGGTATTTGGGATCTACTGGAATCCATGCTAACACATTAATAAGTAAAAACAAAAAGGGCAAAAGATTTGAAAAGACACTTCACAAAGAAGATACGAGTGGTTAATAAGCACATGAAAGTACTCGACATCATTAGTTATCTGGGAAATGCAAATTAAAACCACAGTGAGATACCACTACACACCAGCCAGGATGATTAAAATGTAAAAGACTGTCAACTCCATATGTTGGTGAGAATGTGGGCAGTCGGAGTGCTCACACATTTTTGGTGGGGAAGTAATGATGTCTGTAACTTACTTTGAAGTGCACCAAAATACGGATGGGGAAGCAGAGTATATTTTCCAAAAATGACCACACCACCATTTCCCTTTCCACATGCCCCAGTAAATGTAACCATGCCACCACACCCTTCTCTAGACTTGGTGTCTAATTCCCCTCTCCTTGAATCTGGAAGGGCTTGTGACTGCTCCAGCCAGTAGAGTTCAGTGGAAACGATACTTGTATGACTTTTTTTTTTTTTTTTTTTTTTTGAGACAGAGTCTCACTTTGTTGCCCAGGCTAGTGTGAGTGCCGTGGCGTCAGCCCAGCTCACAGCAACCTCAAACTCCTGGGCTCAAGCAATCCTTCTGCCTCAGTCTCCGGAGTAGCTGGGACTACAGGCATGCGCCACCATGCCCGGCTAATTTTTTCTGTATATATTAGTTGGCCAATTAATTTCTTTCTATTTATAGTAGAGATGGGGGTCTCGCTCTTGCTCAGGCTGGTTTTGAACTCCTGACCTCGAGCAATCCGCCCACCTCGGCCTCCCAGAGTGCTGGGATTACAGGTGTGAGCCACCGCGCCCGGCCTTGTATGACTTTTAAGGTTGGGTCAGAAGGGTTCATGATGCTTCCATTGCATTCACCTGGACACTTGTACGTGAAGCCCTTGAAATCTAGCCCAGCTAGATTTCAGAATTGCAGTATCTCCGCCATGCCTCCTATTTTCTCCCTGTTTAATAGGAGCATTGTAGTGGTTACCCTAATCCTGCCCTGCCGTTGTACGCCGGGGGTGGTGGGGAGGCAGGTGATGTGCCTGTGTAGTTCACAGATCTTCAAATAGAGAAGAGTACCCAGGAACCATACCTGGGGAGTATTATGCACGCCTGGATTTGATTTATATGAAGACACTTGCACACAGGAGGCCTAGCTGGAGGCCCCCATGCTGCTGTGAAGCCAACTCAATTGAGAAGCCACAAGGAATCATTCCCTTCCGTTGTCTTAAGGTCCAAGTCATCCTAGCCTAGGTGCCAGACGCAAGAGTATAAAAGAGCCTCCAGCTATTTCCAGCTCTTAGCTGTCAAGAGCCCCCAGCCTAAGGAGATTTCCAAGCAGAATGTTGGAAGCATCCCTGGGCTTCTTTTAGCTGTGTATCCTAAGACTTGGATAAAGAGAGATGGACTAAAGAAGGAAATGCTCAGTTTCTAGCAGACTTTAGAAGTCAGATCTAGCTGGGTTCAAAAACTATCTGCCAGTGGAAGATTCTCGAAGAAAAAGTGAGCATCAGGGCAAAGATCAAATCCAGGGCATTGTCAGGAAAGTATCTCAGGGTAAAGGTGAAGCCAAGTGCCCAACTGTAATATTCTTTATTAAGACACTGGGAAATTTTAAGTTGGTGCCTTGTAGACCCTGTCAATCAGACAAAAAGCCTTTTAGGATATTAACAGCATGGCTTGCAGATCCTCCGTGTTAAACAATAGGACTCCTAGCAATCTTGAGGGCCTTGTCCCATGGCAACTGCATTGGGAACCCCAATTACAGAGAGGCTTGTTTTGAAGAGATTTATGAGTATAGCTTTTGTTTAACTGAGTGGATTACAAATTGATACAGGAAAAAATAAAGAAAAGAAAGGAAAAGAAAAACCCACAAAGTTTTAAAGGAATTGAATTAGCCTGGCCTGAAAGGGACAGAGATAGTTCAAAATGAAAAGAGGCCTTTGAACATCTATACTTTTATAGGCAGGAAGCAGGCTCAGAGGCTACTTAGTTGCAAACACAGGCCATTTCTTACAGACAACGATTAAGGAGCCAGAGGGCAGAGTCAAGATTCCAGAGGGCAGAGCCAAATCCATGGACAACAACTCCCGAGGAGTAAGACAGAGCTCTAAGGAACTTGCAACCTGTGCCCAGCTAGATTTCAGAATTGCAGTATCTCCGCCATGCCTCCTATTTTCTCCCTGTTTGATAGGGGCATTGTAGCCGTTACCCTAATCCTGCCCTGCCGTTGTACGCTGGGGGTGGTGGGGAGGCAGGTGATGTGCCTGTGTAGTTCACAGGTCTTCAAATAGAGAAGAGTACCCAGGAACCTTACCTGGGGAGTGTTATGCACGCCTGGATTTGATTTATATGAAGAAATTGAACTCTGAGCTTGATGATTTAATGAAATGAGATTTTGGGCACTGTGCACAAGAGCTGTTGAGACCAAAGGGCAAATGTACCATCTCCAAAGATGGTCACAACAGCTCCCATCCCGAAGGTCTCCTACAGAGCCATCAAGAGGTGGGGTCTAATTCTCCTCTGTGTGAACCTATGTCTGCTTTGACCAACAGGAAGTGATGCTGTATAACTTCCAGGGCTGGCTTCTAAAGGCCATGCAACTGCCACCTTGTTTGCCAGAACCACACTTGGAGCCCCGAGCTGCCATGTGAGAAGTCTGACTACTTTGAGGCCACCATGCTGGGAGGAAGTTAGGGCTACAGGCAGAGATCACATGTGGGCACTCTGTTGGAAATTTACAGACATGTGAAGGTGCCTCCAGATGATTCCAGCCCCGGAGCTTCCCAGCTGAGGCCCCAGACATTCTAGAGCAATGATAAGCCACCCTCACTGTCTGAATTCCTAACTCATGAAATCCAATAAATAGCGTAACAAAATGTCTATAACGTCACTAAGTTCTAGGGTATTTGTTACATAGCAACTGTAACCAGAACAGATGGATTGATACACGGATAGAAAGACATAGGTAGATGAACAGATATGTTGTAAAGCAAATAAATATAGTAAAATGTCCATTGTAGAATCTAGGTGAAACATGTGTGGGTGTTCACTGTACAAGTCTTTCAGCTTTCCTGCATATTTAAAAATTTTTACAATAAAAATTGGCAGGCGGGAAGGATGGCCAGGCAAAACTAGCTAGCATTTATTGAGTCTTGCCTTGTGCTGGGTCCTGTCAAACACTTCGACATCCATTATCTCATTTAATCTTCTCAGCAGCCCCTAGCATTTTCTCCATTTTACAGATGAGGAAACTGAGGCACAGAGGGGTCCTAACATACCAATGGTAGTCATGTTAAAACAGCAAATGGCTTATAAGGCCTCCTTTATTTTTATACTCTTCCAAATTTGGATTGTGTTTTTTGTAAGAGAAAAAAAATAAAGTTCTTATTAAAGTTCTCTTCCTTCCCAGCGTTCTTGGCAACTGCACATTTCTTTGCCAGGTGCTAAGAAAACCTCCCTTGCACGCCGGCTCCAAAAGTAGCGAAAAGTTGTCATATTGATTGTCTCCTCCTGCTCTGGCCGCACTCTGGAGGTAGGTCGGGCTCTTCTTAGGCATAAAAACACTGTAGGGCTCAGAGACTTTAAATCAGTTGACCGAGGTCACTCAGGATTAAGGGACGGGGCAGAGCTCGCACTGGCGTCCCCCGATGCGGAGTCCCGTGTGTTCGGCTTGCGTTTCTCTTAGTTGGTCTCCGGACTGTTTTCCGAGTAAACCACGGCTGGCAACTAAGCTGCACTTGCTCTGCGATGCCCGTGGTTTCGGGACCGTCGTGCTTCCAGAGCAGCATCCCCGCGCGGCCCAGTCTCGAAGCGCTTTGGAGCCGGCGTGGACAGGCACCCTTGGCCACCTGCGCGCCTCCGCAGGAAGGGATGCTTTGCGTCTGGGTTTCCGTTTTCGCTGAGGGCCTGCACGATGCCTGAATGTCTCACCTGGGATGCTTGGTTGGTGGCCCCAGGGAGGCCGTGCGCGCAGGGGCCTGGGGATACCCGTCTTCCCCAGCAGGGGTGGGCTCCGGTTCTGCGTAGAGGAGGCAGGCGAGGATGCGCGGTCCATACCGTCAGCAGGGCTGCAACCTGGGCAAGGCCCGGCTGGCTCAGGAGCTGCACGCCGCCGTCTGGTTTCCCGCGGGCTTTTCCCAGAGAGCCTCGGCCCAAGGTTCTTGTCCCCGCCTGGGGTCGCCTGAGCTCTCCGGCTCCAGAAAGCTTTGCTGGACCACGTGGGGGAAGGGCGGCGGGCAGCTGTGCCTCGGCTGCTGTCTGCCAGAGCCCCGGGCGAGGGTCAGTGCCCAGCTCGGATTGCGCGTGGGTGGGTGGGGGTGGGGCGCCTTCCGAATTTCTCCCTTCCCTCTCTGCTTCCCCACTGAGGCTCCGCGGAGTCAGATACTGGGGACCGGAGGACAGAGCCCAGGTGTGGCGGAGGGGTGGGGGAGCGTACTGTGCGCTGGACGGGCATAGAAGGGGGCGGCCTGGGCCCATACCAGTTGCTGGTCCGCGTAACCGCGCCCCCATCTGAGCTGCGCACGGGGACGAAGAGATGGCCCGGGAGTTGAGGGGTGGGGGGGGGGGACGACAAGTCTGTTTCCGCCCCGCCTCCGCCTGCTCCGCCTGAAACGAGTCTTTCCGGTGGGGCTGCCCAGCCTGGTCCGCCCCGCCCCGCCTCCCGGATCCGGCCCAGGCCCCAGGGTGGAGTCGCTGCAGAGGAAGGCCAGCGGGTCCTGGGTTGCGGCCCACGCGGGGAGCCCCCGGCGCCTTTTCCACCCCGGTGCCCCGTTCCGATCCGGTGCATCCCCAGGGTCACCCTAACAGGGGGGGTTGGAAAAGCTTCTTGGGTGATACTGGGAATCCCGGCTCCAGTCCAACTTCGTTACTTTACAGTTGGGGAAACTGAGGCATAGCAGACTCTCCCAAGGCCTCACTGTGAGTTAGCAAACCACAAACCTAGTCCTGGGGGGGAGGCGGCTGAAACAGACCAGAGGGGCCAAGGATGCAGGAAGGCCCGGGACGGGCCTGGACCTGCTGCCCAGACAGCTCTGCGGTGCTGCTAGGGTTCCCAGCCTCACGACAGTTAGCAAGGAAGGCCCTTCCTTTCTCCAGTTGGGGAGTGGAGAGTCCATGTGAGCTCTGCAGTGGGCTGGACAGGAAGCGCGCTGCCTCCCAGCCTGGCGCAGGCCTGGCCCCCGGGGCGTGCTGACAGTAGCCAGGTATTGGAAGGGAAGCCGCCTTCATTTCCTCAGCAGTGAGGTCTGTGAGTGCGGCTGCCTGGTTTTCCAGAATCACAGCATGTGCAGACCCCAAGGGGAGATACCCTGGTGGATTCCTTTATCTGCTCGACCTTGAGTCAGTCGTGCAATAGGCACTGGATCCAGAAACTTGGTCGGTTTCTCAACATGCAAAATCAATCGCTGATTTCACTTTTTTACGCGGCGTTTCCTTGATATATTCTGGATCGTGGGAATAAAAGGTTATACACTCTTGTCTTAAATTCTGTCCTGGTTAGCATCCATCCTCAATTCAGGATTTCCCCAGAGCCAGATCTTAGCAGCTTCAGGTTTATGATTTTTTTTTTTTTGGAAAATATAATTTTGATGGATTTTTATCTGTTCCTCAAATTAGAGAATCCCCTAATTACAGGAGAAAAACATTTTCAAAGAGAAAAGGCCAGACCTTTAGAGCAAGCCCTGGAGCTATATACTTCTTTAAGAAAATCTCGGGGCAGGCGGGGAGGAAGAACCGAGCAAAAATGCCTTTCCTGCAGCTGTGAGGCCCACCTGCTGCCAGTTACTTCTTGGCTAGAAAATAAAGAATAAACGAAGGTTTGCTTAAAGTTGCTCATTCTTCTGCAGAGGATTCTGACTTGAGAGAAAACATTGTCTTGGCTACAATTGTGTTAAAATTGGGCTTTGGTGGCCAAATGCTATCAGAAGGGAAATTTCTCGTTATGAAAGTGTTTCTGGCTAATAAATGAGTAAGGAGCAATAGATAGAACATCATCACCCTTTTGCATCCGCAGTGAGTGAATAGATCTAGGCATGATGGGCAATGGCTGCTAACATCACAAAGAAATTTCCTCCCCCGCCCCCTCCCCATTATATGCCTTCTAATGGAAAAACTCAGCACCAACTGTGAAGTAGTCTAGACATCCCTCATCCCCCCATCCCCACATATCAAACCTAAATCTGATCGATTGAGCCCAGTATAGATCAACTACAGTAGTTCCCCATTATCTGCAGTTTCACCATCAAGATTTCAGTTATCCACAGTCAACCACGGTCTGAAAATATTAAGTGGAAAATTCCAGAAATAAACAATTCATAAGTTTTAAATTGTGCACCATTCTGAGTAGCAGGATGAAACCTCATGCTGGCCTGCTCTGTCCTCCCCTGGCATAAATGGTTTGTCTCTGTCCAGCGTGTCCATGCTGCCTGTGCTGACTGGCCTGTTAGTCACTTGCTAAGCTGAATTGCCAGCTCCATATTTACCTAATTTTTATTATAGTATATTGTTAAAATTGTTCTGTTTTATTATTAGTTATTGTTAATCTCTTACTGTGCCTAATTTATAAATTAAACTTTATCATAGGTATGTATATACAGAAAAAAATATAGCATGCAGTATATAGGGTTTGGTACTGTCTATGGTTTCAGGCATCCACTAGGGTCTTGGAGTGTATCCTCCATGGATAATGGGGCACTAGTGTACTAATTTACAGGAAATACAAAGTATAAGGGAACATGTTAAACTGCACAATGGGGACATAAACAAATCCATCCAGATCTTGTAAAACTACAGGGTAAATGATCCAGTTCTTCAATAATGAATTACAAGGAAAATAATCACATTTAGATTTTGAATCAAAGGAATGATAAAAAGAAAAAAGTGACATTTATAGGACACCTGTAAATTTGAGTACTGATTGGATATTTGATATTTAAAAAGCATTAATTTTTAGGAAATATATTATGGTTATATTTTTAAAGTCATCTTTGGAAATGCATGTTGAAATATTCACGTAGGAAATGATATGATATCTGGAATTTATTTCTAAGTAGTTTCTTTTTAGATTTTATTTTTTAATTTATTTTTAAATTTTATTTTATATTCATACTATTTTCTTTCTTTCTTTCTTTTTTTTTTTTTGAAACAGAGTCTGTCTTTATTGCTCAGGCTAGAGTGAGTGCCGTGGCATCAGCCTCGCTCACAGCAACCTCAAACTCCTGGGCTCAAGCAATCCTCCTGCCTCAGCCTCCCGAGTAGCTGGGACTACAGGCTTGTGCCACCATGCCTGGCTAATTTTTTCTATATATATTAGTTGGCCAATTAATTTCTTTCTATGTATAGTAGAGACAGGGTCTCGCTCTTGCTCAGGCTGGTTTCAAACTCCTGACCTCGAGTAATCCTCCTGCCTCGGCCTCCCAGAGAGCTAGGATTATAGGCGTGAGCCACTGCGCCCGGCCCTCTTTCTTTTTTTTTTTGGCCAGCCTTCTTCCTATATGCCATGTTTATCTAAGTAGTTTTATATGGGGGCAAGGAAGGTTAGTGAAGGTGTGGATGGAAACATAATTGGATGTTATTAATGGGTATATGGTGGTTCATTATATTATTCTATTTCTTACCATGTTTGAATTTTTTTTGTGGGGGGGGTGGATATTCTAAAAGCTGTGAGCTGGAGTTGGAGCCTGACTGAATTGCTTGGGCTGGGACGAGGGGCAACTGAGATTCTGCACATTCATACACGTCCTTCTCACTTGTCCCTTCAGCAAAAATTATCGAGGGCCTTCTATCTTCTTAAGCTACTAAAGTTATGGAGCTCATACTTGAGATTAGGAAATAACAAAGGAGGAAGCCACCAAATGGAAGTGTGGAGGGCTTTGCAGAAGAATTGATGTTTGACGTGAGTCCTAGCAGGTGAAAACAACAAGTTCCTTGTGTAGTGTCACTTCATCTTCTGTAAGATGACATGGTTAGACTGTAACTACAAGGAGGTCCCCTTTAGTCCTAACAGATTCTATTTTTTTTTTTCTTCTGTGTGTATCTCTCCAGGAGTTGAGAGACCCCTGCCTCCATGAACTTCCTGTCGTCAACCCTTATTTTATTAGCTGAAGCCTTCCGATGTGCGTGGTTGGTCTTGAATCTCCCAGTTGTGTTTGGAGGCCAAAACGTTATCATACCAGTCAGTCTATAGCCGTTTTAGGGGATGCTCTCTTGGGCTCACAGATTTATTTCGACCCATCCAGTTCTCAATGCCCTTCCCCAAGTAGCTTCGGCTATACACCTGCCAATGGTTATGCCTAGCGTTGGGAATAGAGCCCCCTTCTTCTTCAAAATTTAAGTGCCTGCAAATAGATGCCCTCAACCTTGTCATCTGCTCTCATCTTCCCTCCCTTCCTACAGGGCATGCCGTTCAAGGTCAAACATGCAGCTTGGCCTTCAGGTGAACTAGATCTTCCTGATCCTCTGACAGAAAGGTCTAACTCTGTACTGTGAAAGACCTTTCACCCATGTGGTATGATCCACCTACTAGGCCAAAACTTGCAAGAACAGTAGTTATTTGATGAGTTGCTGGCTGTATCACCTCTCCTCTCCATTGTATAAAATCATTTTTGTGTGTTTTGTTTATTCTTTTTATCTTCTCGGTTTTTATGGATGTTTGCACTTTAAAAGAGTGATTTTTTGAACTGCTGGGATAAGTAAGATAATGATCTTTAAATATAGTTGCTATTATGTTTGTTGAACAGTTTTACCAGAGCTATGACGCAGAGTCAAACACATTTTCTTCTTGGGGACCTAACAAGCATCTTACAAGGTGACCCAGAGCCTGGCAGAGGGCTGGGAATGCTAGAAGCACCCATAATTCTTGCTGTTATAAACCAAAGGTGCACTTCTCTGTGGAGAAAAATACTAGTAAGTTAGCTATAATATAGTATATGTTTCAAGTGACTCCTCAAAAAGTTCTTATATGAATTTAATTAGAATAATTTACCTCAATAGAAAACTATAATTTTCTACTCTTTCCAACCAGTTTAACCAACTTGTACTTTTTTTAACTCATCCAGATGGAATTTATTACTCAAAAGCCAATACCCCAAACCTTGATTTTTGTGCTAACCATCATTATAGTTGAAGAATTATGCTGAAGGAATAGTTGAAACCTCTGCTCCTAGCTCTGGAACACCAGCTTGGATCAAACAAAACCTCCTACCTCAAACACTAGACAGCTAGATAATTTAAAAAAATTGTTTTAAAACATCAGAGAGCTACCCAGACAGTGAGGACTTGAGGGGGCAAGATCCTAGAGAAAATGCAAGCATAGAAAGATGAGCCTGACATTTGTCCTTGTTCTTCCCCTGAAGGCATTTGCTTCCAGGAGCAGTAATTTAAATGCTAGGAAGCTGAGCAAAGCTTTTGCATCTTGGAAAGGCCCTGAGTAATACTCTAGGCTTTTGGTCAGAGCCTCTGAAAGCCAATCCTAGTAGTAAGGGCAAATTTAAAAAAAAGACCAACTCTTTCAAAGATATTGCTT